TGAAAAGAATGAAAAATAAAATCTAAAAAAAATACCAGGTTGAAGAATATTAGTTGCTCCTTCAAATTTCGCCAAAGCCTTACCTACATTTTACCGATATCTGCAGAATAAATCAAGAAAACTACACAAACTGACTCTATTTAGGAATTCCTTACGGTTTGCCCGAACGCACGGCACAGTTGGAGGCGTGGCCTGTTCAGCATTTTGTCAACAACCAATCACAAGACTGGTTACGAACCAGTTGAGCAAGGCTAACCGAGTCGTGACCTCGATGTGGTTGGTAACCAGTCTTGTGAGCTGGCTGGAGCCTTCATCCCTTGTCTATTTCTTACACTAGATACCAGCCGATACCCCCCCCCCCCCCGCTCATAGGGATTGTGTACAGTTGATCATAGTTCCTGGGCTCCCTGTGGTAACCGTGAAATTATTTTGTCCATGTTTATTTCATTTATGCACGAAATGTGTGATAATGTAGTATTGTGATGATAATATAGTAGGAAAACGTATGCACGATAATACGTGTTGAAGAACTTGAAAAACCATGTCAAATGTTAAGACCATATCGTCCATACATGCACTTAATTTAACCTTGTGGGAGGTGACGAGGAATAAAGGATTGACTGAGTAAGTTTGTCCATTCGTTTGTCGCCATTGTCATACTAAACCGGATGTTGGTGACCGGTGCATCATGGGTGTTATATAGCAACTTCCGTTAGTCAGGAGCTAAACTAAATATAATAATGTATTAATTCCTGAGTTCAATTACCTACACATACAAATTGAAGCAAAGCACGGTGTTCATTTCACCTTTAATATTGATAGTATTATATCAACACGACTTTGATATTAAATACTGCCTGGGTAGGGTATCACGAACAAGCTTGCTTATGGACACGTGATTGTGTTATTTGAAAAGTGGCACAGCGGTGTAGATGCTTTTTGATTAGGAATCTCCCACATACTGTTGTCACGATGCTGAGAGGCATATTAAACCAGCAGGCGAAGAGCCATGTCACATTCCTGTAAGACGAATGGTGCCCTCGGCGGCAAACCTCATCATCGAGTCTTCGAACGTCAAAATATTACTACTACATGAGCGGTTGTAATCATGGGATGTCGTAAATCATGGTTTCCATGGAAATATCACAATACATCATCATCTATACGGAATGGAATTAATACCATCTAATACACTGATTGAATGCTGGGTTTACAGTAAAAAAAACAAAAACGATTTTTAATTCCAAATTGCGTAGGGTGAGATTTGTGCACGGACTTCGATCAAAGCATTGTCGTTGATCAATGGGATGACTTGATACACACGTAATTTAATATCGTGCCGCTTTTCGACTCCGTTATTTCAAAATTCGGCAGTAGATCAGGATTAATTGGTTGCTGGACACGTCGGTGAAGATGAGTTGTTGTTGACAGTAAGTAGTGACACTAAAGAGAAATTAAATTACTTTAGTCGTGAATCAAATCTCCCGCGAGATGTACGAGAAAATTTTGCGACTTGTGAAGACTCACTTCGGGATTCCGGTCTGCTATAGTGAAAGATTTACGAGCGTGCGTAGTGTGCACAATTTTTTGTAAGACCCGCGCTCACATACGCTATCGAAACTAGCCTGTTTTGGGAACTTTGTTGGATTTCGCGGACTTACACTTTACTTTTCTAGCGATTTTCTCACTTATCAACAAATAATTCTTTAATTCGAAGCGGTGCGACGACCACCTTTCAAAATCAACACTGAAATTGTCAGGTCATTTGCAGACGATCTGTATGGGTCCATCTTTCAAACTGGTGATCTTGAACATTCCCACACGATTCTATGGCACGTCGAAAAACAGAAAACAGAGGAAGACATTTAAAGCTGCTTTCCACTTTGTATGATCCAGTCTGCAGCAAACCTCGCACCAGTCTGACATGTAGGCGTGAGTGGCGCCCTCGCCGGCCGAACGGCATCAGACCCGACGTGTATTGGGTTTAAGGTCCCGCGTAGGACGAAACTCACGCGAACTTGTGCGGCTAACCTCGCACAGGCGCGTTTAGCCATCATAAGTGTTTTCTCTGCGGTTCATGGTATATCTTATCCAAAAAATCCCCTGAAATCAGATCTATAAGTAACATCCCAAATAGGTCTGATTTGGTAGTAGAAACCACGATTTTAAGTGTAACCTTAGTAACCTTAATATTCCAGGATTTTTGCCAAAAGTACAACTGATTCTATAATTTTTCACATTAATGCTGTGAAAAGTGTTCTGAATATAATACAATGTGGAAATACAATATTCATAGACAGAATTTAACGCATGGTGAAAGCCTGAAACTGACACATTGTCAGATACACATACAGACAACTGTCGGTAGTCACTCACATCCTGGGCATACCTTTGTACGCGTGTCAACATCTTAATAAAACTCAAAAATGTTCTACAAAGGATGAACAAGAACTTAATAGAGACATAAGGTAAATGCCCTCCTCTTCAACCCGGAGCATTCAATTTGAAAATATCTAACAAAACTCGTAAAGACGTATTGTCTGAACAAATAAATGTATATGATCACAAATGTACTTGTTTTTGTTTTTGTTTTTAAATAAAAACGGAAAATGAACTGTAACGTTCTGATCTAGATGGTTGAAAGTCAAATATATTTAAAAAAACACGATGTCACGTAATCAAACGGTGCCGTTTGGGTGTTGACCATTACATCCGGGCATTACGGTAGTTGGCTATGATCCAACTCCGTTTTCGACATTGTTAAATTCTTTCGTTTTTTGAGGGGTGGAACTGAATACAGCTGATTTTGACAAGAAAACTCAGAAATATATTCAGAATAATTCACATTTTTATTATTATTATTATTTTATATGCACACCAATAATTATTATCAAAAACATGTAATTACCGATTACACGTGAATAATAAAGACAAAACATAAGTTTCTGGCTCCATATTATAAGTTGCGTTTCTTTTGTCTTGAATTTTAACTGAAAGCAGCTGAATGAAATTACAAACTGTGTAGTGTGTTCAACAACTCACGTGTGTGCAATAAATTTAATAAATACTGTATTTTCCTCCATAAAAACGAAAGAATTTAACAAAGTCGAAAATAAAGTCTTTATCTTAGTGTCTGCCCGTATTTGGGTGTGATTGAAACAGTGAATGACAGTGACAGGCTCCACGAAAGTATGTTTTTATGCAAAGTACAAGTCTGTACTGAGAAAATTTTGAACTTAGTTTAGTGGCCTGAGGTTTTAACTATACAAATAATCTAAAACTGGCGTCCCGTGCAATCTACCTGTAAAAATGCTTAGTAAAATGGCATTATTTTAGCTTTTCTTAACTCCTGAGACATTTCTGCACAGGTGTAGTAATGCTCAACTACATCCACCCCAACCCTTCGACTCTTTGCTTGTCCCAGAGCTCATCATTGCGAAACCACGCTCACCCACGCGACCCTATTCACGCGCGGCGTCGTTGCGGAACGAACCATGGAAGCCGACTCCATTCACACCCTATCACATGCAATAAATAACGTTCTTTTCAAATGAAGTGTCGCTCGCTGCATTGACCCAAACAACATCAATATTTATCTTGATGTGGTTTTGATATCATAATTTAGTCAAATGATTTTGAACGGTTGCCATAATTATTTCTCGTAAAATTTGAATAGGTTGTTCCAACGTCGAGGGCGCTCTTGCAATAACGGAGTCACTCGAGATGACAGACTCCATTATAAAGCATTACTAATATTTACATGTTTATTATTTAATCATTGTAGAATAGATATGGGGATCATGAAGAGTTAATTGAGCCTAATGGATTTATGAGGTCGGTGACAGAACTGTTAGAGACATTCCAAGGCGTAAGAAGAACATTTAGCGGTATTTGAAAAGAGCGTAACTTCAAACAAAGTAATATCGGGGGTCCATTGTTTCCAGTTCCAATAAACACGGCAACAATGTCACTTCAACGATTGTGCGATTAATTTACGAGATTATTCTGACATAATATGGTTGACCTCAGTGAGTAATGAGGTCAACCGAAACGCACAGCACACCAAACAGCACGTTTCTCGTAACCGGTCCCCGCGATTACGTGGCGGGATTCGTTGGAATTCCCGAGCGCCTAGGAAAGTACGGTAAGGAAATAACTTGATTTACCTTGTGTGGGAATGCTTAAGTTTACGTTATTCATAGAGCGTCAGGTTTGAACTGAGAATCGTTCCTATTATCCCTCTATGCTGCGACATAGTGCGGGCAAGTAGACTATGGCCGTACCAGGCTACAATAGCTGTTCTAGTCAAACAAGGTGGTCATTTAATCATTGATTCCATGCACACCCGGACACGGTTTGCAAGAAACAGACGTGCTTGCATACAGCTAATCACTCACTAACGCTCGCAACACTCAGGTTCACTGAAGCCACATAATATTCCAAACGAATCGCCGCCGACTGAATACATATTGTGCGCTCAGACTTTTAAAACATTTGTTAAAGACTCTCGCAATTGTTGTTTCACGACCTTTGGAGCTTTTCTTTAATGTACGAGTTTGTGTTTCTTTGATAATTACAGAATTCGCCGCGTAACATTTAGACACATACTCGCATTGGACTTGCCACTTTAATCCCCGTACGAAAGCCGTGGTGATAACACCTCCCCTTTCACTCTACATTCCAAGCTTGAAACACAAGTACTAGTATCCTATTGTTCGTTCGAAACAATACTTGCTCGGCCCTGGCTGACCTATTTTTGCGCTTTACATGGTTTACATAACAAAGGTAAATCGACAAGTCTGCTTGGCAGCTTGCCAATCACGTGACACGTACAACCGATTTTAAAACACGCAGTGTAGTCCAGTCATTAAACATTTTTTAATCATGGAGATTCAACAAAATTGTTGGAAAAGATTTCTTAGCGGTTTTCAGCTCTTCAGTACCTCTACTTTAAAGAAAAAAATAGTTTACCAAAATCGGACTTGGGGAACCACCTAAAAATAGGTCAATTCCAAAATGGCCACTATTAAGAAAATAAAAGTTGAAAATAGGTCATAAATAGTGATATGCGGAGTCGCTCATAACGTTGTTAAATCTACCAAATGGACAAGCGCTGCACATAATTCAGTTTTGTCAATTTTCTGTACTTGCTAGCTTTTACGAGATACACTACACGCATGCGCAGTCAAGACGATAATGTCGTTTTCAGTGCTGAAAATGAATCGGCGGTGGCAGAACGTCATATACGGTGTTACATACTGTTGAAGCCTGCCGATTGTGCATACATAGCTTCTGCTGCCAACTTGTCACGTGCGCATGATTTTACGTAGCTGAAAGTTTTATTTTTCTTGTGATTTTCACCAAGATAAACAAAGATTGGTTGCTACGTTACAGGCAAAACGTCATACCTCATTTGCGAAATATTGTTTTGAAAACAGAGAGAAATACACCCGCGTTTTGATACACGTTATTATGCGTCCTGCTATTAGATTAATTTCAAATACTAGTACATTCAATTTGAGCAGCGCTTCTTTTGAGTACACGCTTCTGTGGCGTCACAATAACGTAATGCAAAGCGACATTTATGTTTGGTTGCGTAGTCGCTCGTCAAAATATAGTGAATCTCTCAACACACTAGTTTCAACTGTCGGAAGGATAAAAAAGCAAAACAATATCAACTCCGTGAACGGCGTCCCTTATAACCTTCTACGTCACAGAAGCGGTCAGCGCTAGAGGGCGCGACTTATAGGACCGGTGTATACAACAAAGCAGCGAATTTGCATTGTACAAATGCGCATGCGTAGAGAAAATAATGTATGCGTGATTGATCGAAAATGAATAGTTTTTTTCACTTTCTCTCCTTGCACGCATCCGGCATAAAAACTAAAACTATCACTCTGCAATGATCATTCTATCCAGTAGGTACATTTAATAGCCAAGCTTATCACCATGGCGACGGAACACGTGATGCTATCATATAGTTGGAGTGATAAACCCGAACTGGTGAGAAAAATCAAGACAGAGCTCGATCGACGAGGATTTAGGACGTGGATGGACGTCGAACAGATGAGCGGTAAGATGTTACATTAAATCGCCCTTGGCCGTTGGCGTTTGAGGATCACTGCGGCACTAGATTAGTGTGATTGGCTGCTTGATGACGTCATAAGTTACTCGGCTAATTGTTAGATTATACATGTAATTGCTCGACTACAGTAATCTGGTAAAATGTCGTGTACGTGTTGTCTCCGTTTTCCTTTTCTGATATTTCGTATGCACCACCAATCAGCGCGCTATCCCAGTATTGTTAGCTAGCCAATCAAACGGGTTGTTCTATATTATATACTGCGACAGATAAATGAACATCAACAAACGTGAAGGAATTGATTGGTTATGATTTATGTGTCGTGTCTCTTGATATTCGAGTCGTTGCTTCTAAATAAGGGTATTGGTTTTCGCCGGATTTTCCACAGTTATCATGTGTTTGGGTGCTGCTGAATCTACATGTATCACGTGCTTGTAAATATGTTGCCCCTAACATTACCTGGCACATTATCTATGACGACAAATTAAAGATCGTCAACCAATCAAAAATCCCCTTACAAAAACAAATTTGATATCTTCGGTCTCTCGTGAGCACCATTCTGACGACGTGACTTTTACGATACTCTCTTAGGAAATGTGAACCGGGCTATGGCTACAGGCATTGAAGGCGCTATGGCGGTGCTGATGTGCGTTGGCAGTAACTATAAAAAATCTCGTAACTGCGAGAAAGAGGCTGGATACGCCGATCAAACCCAGAAACCTATACTCACTGTAATTGTCGAAGAAGGTCTAAAACTTGGTAGGTATCGTTCTTTTTCTGCAATGTATATGCGCCCCACTGTACCATGTTTTTCTATGGGCTCTGCGTGAGCGGACGTCAGTGGAACGCCGGGCGAAAGGCCAGTGAAAATACTAGTAGCTAAGGCCGAGAAAACAACACAAACTCAACTTTGAAGTAATTCTGAACAACCAAATTTATATATGTTACACACACAGGGGTGATCTTGATACACTGTTCAGGGAAGTCTGAACAACCATCCCAAAGCAACGTTTTCTGAGAGTTTTCAGCCTTTGTTTTCACCGTGATGGTTGCCCGGATGTCCGCCCGGACATACGTAGTTTGATGGATTGTCCCTCACAGCGGTTGCATTGCAAGGCTGGGTTACCAAGCGTCAGACGAAAGATTAAACGCTCTGAAAGCAATATTAAAGCGGGGGGGGTCGTCACACGCTCACGCGCGGGAATTGAGTCCCAAGCGACGATAACAAAACACGCTAAGAACGCAAAGGCTCATGGGAAAACGCTTGGTTGTAAACAATCATGATGACATGCTATGGCCACCTAAGGCCACACCAACTTAATTTTATGGATGACATCCGCGCGCGCATTAGTTTTCGCCTGTCCCCACAGATCGGTTTTCATATTGTCGCAAAGCGCCGGCTTGTCGTAAAACTCGTTTTGGACTACCTCCAAACTCGCCAATGATCTTTTGCACATGCGTATTGCGTTGCCGGGAATTCCAACATGGCGACCACGCCACCAAGATATGTGAGCATAAAAGTTCAGAGGAAAAACAGCGGAATTGTTGTTGACTGGTACGCAATTGACGTCGGCCAGGGATTTAGCAGGATTTTTTTTTTTTTTGGCAGAAATTTTTTTTTTCGCCCTCTCGCATTTTTGGGGTCTTCAGAGGATGTCATCCATAACATTAAATCAGTGTGGCCTAACGCATGCGCAGGTGACGACTCCGCCACTTTGACAGCCTGCTAGTGTATGTCATTATATTATACAGTGGCAATATATAAATATACATCGAGCACACTTTACTTAAAAATGATTGTCGACCAAAGAACCCCCATGTAAAAAAATGATTTTCACATTTGAATTTGGAATCAAACTTGTACGAAGTTTTATTAATTTACTGAAGGATGATACATCTTGAAATATAACCTATTATTATACATCTGTCACTGTAACGCCATAAGTTACAGCGTGCCGTAATTTTGCGGTATTTTACGGGGTATTTTCATACTACCATATTAGGAAATGCGAATTCCAAATATGGAATAATTACGCGCGTAATAATGAAAACAAACATGGCTGCTACCAGGATTTGACCGGACTCCATACAAAGAAGTTCGCTGATTCTGTTCTAAACTTTTTGGATTTCGGCATTCCCATGATGTATCCTTGGAAGGAAAAGATGTATAATAATAAAGTTATTACGAAGATA